TGCGAATGGAGCAACTTTTACAGCCCCTACAACGCTTGTACAACTAGACCGCCTCTGAGGGTGTCGGCGCCCTATCTAGACCGTTTTTCTGCCCAACCCTTTTGCTTCTCCCTTTTGCTATCCTTGAGAGTCACAAGCTCGTCTCAGGGAAAAAGGTCTGGAACCAACTTTGTCATAAACTGTACCTTCAACTCTCAGAGAGGGAAAAGACTGATCCATTTCAGATTAACAAGAGTAAGCTACGGATAATAAGTTTTTTCTTACAGTCTGCCTAGCATGTCAGTATATAAAAACTTGCTACATAAAAAACCGAATTTCGATTTGTACTACTAGTTGCTGTACATTTGGTAGAATTCGTAAAATGCAAAACAGTTGAATGTACCAATACCTGAAGCATTAGTACCATAAGCAGCTGTTGATGGGAGCGTCGTGTTTGATTGCTCATCATTTTGACATGGGCGAGATGAAGATGGATATACATAGCAAACGAAAGGCCAACACAACCTACAGCCAAGACCAGCACTAGTGCCTCCACAAATAAAATAAAACGTGACGTAGTTAAACCATACTGTAATGACGTTTGTAATTTACTGTCTCGAATTATCGATAATATAAGCAACCATGTCATTATGCCGCACTGGTTTACCTAACAGCTTAGCTGGTCGTATTTCGCTTCAGCTTAGCATAAACAAGGTTCGAACTGTTGAAATCTGTGCAAAAAAGCAATTAATGGTGTCGCTCCCGGGAGATATGTGGCGTTGTTGCACGCACCGAAAGACTACCTAGAATGGTTCATAATATGGCTAGAACGCCTTTTGTCGTTACTCATGGGTGTGTCAAATAGTCTTGGTGAGGGTGCATCGCAGCACAGATTGTTTTTGGATAGTAATTTCACTGTACCACCCTCTTTCTCACCGCTAATTTCTTCCTTGTCCCCTTTCGAATTGTATTTCAAAATTGCAGTTTTACAAAAGGGTTGATTATGAAAAACACTGAGAAAGGCATGTTGATCAAGTCACCTGATCGAGGATTATCTCAGTTTACCTTCTGGAGCGATGTGCTTGCAACTGCAAAAAGGATCAATGAAAAGTTAGGAGTTCTCATATTTTCTACAAATTTCTCTGAAATAAAACTCAGTCATTCTGGCTAAGATCACTTTGCTTAAGTTCCCGCTGCATCGGTATTCACTCGTGAATGCGGCTCAATGAGTAAGCATGAGTTGGGATGTGGTCTTCAACCACGATCGCATGCCGCAATGCTTCGAGACAAGTGGCTACAATTCTTCCCACAGTTTTCGTCAAACATTTGGAACCCATGTGGATTGCAAGTGAGATATGTAGGTGTCCTATACAACACGGGCAGCAAAATGCAGTAATATCAAGCTACGATCATAATAGTTAAACCGCGCAGGATTTATAATAATTGAAAATGTTCAAATGAAAAAATGACCAAATAAAAAATGTCACATATGTTATATATATTTATATATGCATGCATCATACTCCCTTTTGGAAAACTTGTGGATGGGGCACGGTTCCTGCGAACATCCGATGCTTCCGCCTCTCCAAGCTCTTTGGGCAGCATCCAATTCCCATCAAAGGCACGATCTTCGTCCCTCTAAGGTCGTCTGGGCAGCAGAGTCGGAGGCTGTTGCTCATTGAGGGTCATTGGGGGGGGGCAGGAATAAGGGATGGATGGGAAGGAATGCTGAAGAAGTTGGTAACGGTAGAAGAAGGATCGAAGGATGGCCACGGATGTCGAAAACTGGCGATGGCGCTTGAATGTGGACTAGTGGACTTGCCACGTGGCATTTGATCTCCTCTCTTCCGGAACGACCCGTTCTTTGGCAGAAGCCCAAAGCGACCCTACCATGCATCCTATGAAGCAGAACGAAAGGCCCGAGAAACCTCACTCGCTCGGTGGTTCAAACATTTCCAGCGTGTACCGCAACAAGTGGTAGCGATATCAGTTATGAAAAACGGGAGAAGTTTGACCCTTTAAGTCGTTCTCTGAACACCCATAGAATGATTCAATGTAACCTGCATAATATTTCGATTTATTAAAAAGAAAAAGAAACAACAAAGAAAATTAAAACTTACATGAATAGAAATACCCATGAAGGTCGCATTGCTGACATCAAAGTGGTGATATTCGATGACAGTGTCTCTAATTCTTCGGACGAACTCCTTGCTTGGCCATCCACAACACACATTCATTGCTATCCAGTTTACAACGATAGCAATGTTGATAAAGCCGATCAATAGTAACCACTTTGGTGAAGCATAAATGTTTAGACTTAGCGGTCTAGAATTGCGCAAGAAAGTATTGGTAAAGAGCAGCTCTATCTCATGAACATTTTATTCGAAATCTAATTTGAAGTTATATTATTATTTCGGTATATTGTGCTGTTATGAGTCAATTTCGAATGGTGCTGTGACAAGTATTGTTTCATTGGACTTTCAGCCAGTGCTGCCTTTAATCTCCAACAAAACATACACTTTCATTTGTTGCACAGTTCACGACAGTTTTGGGGTATCATTTTGAGTTGAGAAGAGCAACTGTTTAATAGAGAACAAACAGTGAATCAATGGCGAAGAAAATATGGAAATGAGGCCATTTAAAAATAATGTAAACAGAGGGTGTAGATCACCATAACGTAAAAAAGCATGAAAGGGGTATTTTGATTGCATCAAGCCGAAACGTCAACAACTGTTTTCAATTATCGCTATAGGTCGCGAGTAATTGTTTGTATTTCCAACATGGGTTCCTTTGTGAATAGTGGAGCTTCTACGGAGCCGTTGAAACTCGTCCGTTTTCAGGTGTGGCACGCAACCGACGCAATCTTTGAGCTTTTATAACGCCTTGTCTAGGCCGTTTTCCGATTTAAAGGCGCCATATATGTATGCCGGGAGGCCACGGATCCATCCCAAGTGGATTTATCAGAAACCATTTCAATGGTGTACTGCACCTCCGAGGGCAGAGAAGGAATAAGGTCAAGAGGCGCCGCTTCCCCACCCGAGAAAAAAATTTTTTGAGACCCTGGGCTCGTATCATTGGTTACTATACTCGAATAATCTCCAAGCCTGTCATCACTTTATTACTGGTTACTTGGTACGAAAAAAGTTTGACAAGCCAAGCTTTCGAATTTGTACACGACCAGCCCCACAAGTCGCTGCACGAGCCGAGCAAGCGCTCGTATGCCACGGCGAGTCAAATAGATGTTAACTACGAAGACTCGTTTCGTGGTGGCTTCCTTTAATCTTTCTTTGAATGCTTTTGAAAGCCCGAAATTCTAGCATGGAAAATGCGACTTACCTACATAGGTGAAAATACTTGTGAATAAAGTTATTTGTTACGAAGATCATTGACGAAACAAATGTCATACTGTATAGTAACATAACGAAAGGGCCAATCATCCAATCGCCACCTCGTCCAGTTGAGATAAGAAGGAATACTGAGTTGAACGTAATCGCTTCCTGAGAATAAAACAGTCATGTATGGTGAGCTTTTAAAATTAACCATAAACCATGCTGTTATGAGGTAAGCTGAACTACATATAACACCATTGGAATGAGCTTATGGGCTCACTGACTGATGGAGTTCCGGAAAAGACGTTCAGACCTTCGTTTGTTAGTCACCACTAAGCTCGCCATCTTCCCCATGTAATTGTCCTCTGTAATCCTATCAGGGCCCTTCCAACGTCTTTCATTTGCATGAGCCTCTACCAGTAGAACTTGAGCTTTAAAGGAGTGAAAATCAGAAGGGACATGAGCGCTTTGTTGGGTCATTCACGTTTTTGTTGGTGCCCCGCTTACTCTAGAAAGTATTCAGAAGGCTCTTAGGTAGAGGGAACATCCACTATGCCTTCAACGAGTCCAATATGTACTCTTGGGAACTCCCTTTTTTGTATGTTTAGATTATTTCAAGAAAAATAATGGACCAACTAACCGGTGCAATCAGAAAAAAAGTGATAGCGGAGACGAGATTCTGGATAATCGATAGAATAAAGAAATAATTATATGAGCGTGTTTTCAAGGGCCGGTAGGAGAACACGAGAAAAAGAAGGATATTCATCACGCAAGCCATACAGCAGATACATTCAACCACCACTGTGTATGTGCTACGGGCGGCACTTGGACTAGGAAATTTCGCTGTGGTATTCGGCAGGTATTCCATTTCTGAAATACTTCAAAGTGCAACTTTCAGAGATTATCTTCAATCACCTCAACAAGCGGAATATCCAAAAAAGCTGTGCGAGATGAGGTTTTATGGTTAAGGAGCCCTAAGGGCACGTGCAGTGATGACGGCAGATGTGATGCCTATCAACATAAACGTTTTCTTAGATCAAATAATAGTCTGGTCCCTAATCTCATTTTTCAGCTCGTTCGTATGCCGGGTATCAGCTGGATAGCATGAATTGGGCACTCCCTACGGATAGAAGCCTTTTCCAAGCAAAAGCTGAGGCTTGTCTTCCTGGCTCATAAGTGGGCAGGGTATATAATTCCCATAAAAAACCTGTCGAATCTTATGAAAAACAAGAACGGTATTGCTGAAGGACAAATTGTAACGAGGCCCGACGTAAAATTAAATAATATGTAATTGACTTGAATATGTGCACTGAAAATGGAAATACATAGGAAATCTAATAACGAGAGTGTGTGTGATGGAAGAAAAAAAAACTATTTACTCTAAGACTGTGCGAAGAAAATCCTACTATATATAACGCGCTAAGTGTGTCTGTTGGTTTGTCTGTCTGTGCGTGTGTGTGTGTGTGTGTTTGACCGGAAATTCATAACTCCGGTTCCCGTTGACCTAGAG